AAGATGGGCACTATATATGCCTTTTTCTAATTATCTGTGATCTTCCGCTATCAATATGAGTTTTCAAAGATAATTGCCAATGGCTCCACAATCACATCAGCCAACACTCTTAGATGCATTAGATTCAGCTCCATGGACTTGTGCCGATCCAGCGTTTCTAAATTGTCCTTAACCTGTTCTTTCACTGAGAGCTGCTTACCTCCTCCCCGTACTGTGGCTCCCAATGTTGCAGTCTGGGAATTGACCTTGTCTGTGAAGATGGAAGCAAAAAAAGCATTACTCAATTTCAGCTTTTCCCACGTCATCTATTATTAGCATCAGCGGGTAGCCGAGGTTGCCTTCCACATTCAGTAAGGGTCCCATACCTTCCCTGACTTTCATCTTGTTGCTAACATACCTGTAGAAACTCTTCTTATTATCCTGTACATCTCTTGCTACCTGCAACTACAGTTTCACTTTGGCCTTCCTGATTACACTCCTGCATACTCGAGCAATAGTTTTATACTCATCCCTCACCATCTCTTTGAGTTTCCACTTCTTAGAATGTAAGAACATAAGAATGGCCATCTGAGTCAAACCAAAAGCCTATCTAGCCCAGTATCCTGTCTACGAACAGTGGCCAATGCCAGATGCCCCAGAGGGAATGGACAGAACAGGGAATCCTCACGTGATCCCATCCCTGTCACCCATTTACAGCTTCTGACAATGAGAGGCTAGGGACACCATTCCTACCCATCCTGGCTAATAGCCATTGATGGGCATGTCCTCCATGAATTTATCTAGCTCTTTATTGAACCCTGTTAATGTCCTGGCCTTCACAACATCCTCTGGCAAGGAGTTTCAAAGTTTAATGGTACAATGTGTGTAGAAAGCATCCTTTTGTTTCTTTTAAACCTGTTATTTATTAATTTCATGTGGTGACCCTAGTTTTTATGTTATAGGAACAAATAAATAACTTTTCCTTATTCACTTTCTCCTCACCAGTCATGATTTTATAGCCCTCTGCCATGCCCCCCTTAGTCTCCTCTTTTCTAAGCTGAAAAGTCCCAGGCTATGTCTAGACTACAAAGAAAAGTCAGAAAAAGATACGCAAATTGAGGTTTGCAATTTGCGTGTCTTTTTCCGCTTTTTTTCCCGGAAGCTACACGGGGCCAAATTTTGGAAAAACCTCCTCTTTTGGAATATCCCTTCTTCCTCATACAATGAGGAACACTGGGATGCTGAAAGAATGAGTCTGCTTTTTCAGAAACTGTTTCGAAAAAGCGGATGCGTTCCTTGGATGCAGGAAAGCTTTTTCGGGATACCTCCAGGCTGTGTCTATACTGGCATGAATTTCCGGAACTGCTATTCCGTTTTCAGTTTTTCCGGAAAAGGAGCGTCTACATTGGCAGGCTGCTTTTCCGGAAAAGCCCTTTTTCCACGCGCTTTTCCGGAAAAGAGCCCCGATCACCATTTTCGCGATCGGGGCTTTTTTCCGGAAAAGACTACTGGGCTGTCTACACTGGCCCTTTTCCGGAACAGTGTTCCGGAATAAGGACTTATGACCGAGCGGGAGCAGAATAGTTTTTCCGGAATTGCGGCTGATTTTGTAGAGTAGAGCGTCATTGCTTTTCCGGAAATTCAAGGGCCAGTGTAGACAGCTCGCAGCTTATTCCGGAAAAGCGGCTGATTTTCCGGAATAAGTGGCCCAGTGTAGACACAGCCCCAGTGTTTTGAAAAAGCTCTACAGTGTAGACAAAGCCCCAGTCTTTTTAATCTTTCTTCATATAGCAGCCATTCTTGTAAGCTTCCTTTTTGTGTTTAAGCTCACCAACGATTTCTCTCTTAAGGTAAGCTGGTGGCTTGCATATTTGCTATTGTTGTACATTTTGTTCCTGTGCTTCTTTAAAAGGTTTTTTAAAAAATAAGGCCAAATCTCCAGGCGTCCTCTTCCCCCTCATATTAGCCTTGCCGGAGATCCTGCCCATCAGTTCCCTGCTGTATACAGCGAAGGCTGTTCAGTGAAGGCTGTGCTATCTTTTCATTTGAAACTACCATAAACTATAAGCACGTATAAAGAAAGGAAAGGACAGGAATATGAGGCTGTCTGCAGATGGACAATAAACATCTAGTGCAGGGGTGGGCAAAAGGTCCTCTGTGGGCCAGATCTGGCCTGCCAAGCGGGTGGATCCAGCCTGCGGAGGACTTGCTGCTCCCCCACCCAAGGTAAATCAGGGCCTGGGGATAGGGGAGCTGCGTAAAGTTTCCTCCTGCCCTGCCCCAGCCTTGCAAGGAGCCCGAGGCAATTCAAAGTGCAACGTGCTCCTCACAGGGCTGGAAGACGCCCCTGACTGGCCTGCAGATGGGGGAGCGTGCCAAGCCTCTCCCATAGCATGGGTGCTTAGTGGGATGGGGGGCTAAGGGGCTCCCTCACCCTCAGACCAATCATGGTCTGGGGGGTGGGGTAGCCCCACCACTTCCCATTTAGGCCCTGCCCCTTCCTGTTTAGGCCCCACCCCTT